GACATTTTCTACAGAACAACGGGTTTATGAACTGGAAAAAGTGCAGCCTGCAGCAAAGGTGCATAGTTCTGGGGGAAGTTGTCTCCTAGATCTTGAAATTTTGCCAATGCTGAAAGCCCATAGTAGCCACCATTCTTCTGCTACAAGAACAGGATGGATAACGAATGCCATCTGGAGCATCCAGAAGGGCTGAGGAAATTCTCCCCCTGAGATTGAGCCTTGGCATGTATGGAGCCCAGATGACTGAGAATCATCAGTGGTGCATGACCTAACATATTTTAGACTGTGTGCCACAGTCTGTACAGGAATCTTAGATCTTCACCAGCCAGAGGTTGAGACATCCTTTGGTCGAAAGGAGTTGGGAGGGAAATGAAGTGTCACTGGTGGGTGAATTCTACCAATAAAAGACGTTTTGTCAGTAGGTGAGATGGTCAATACTTGTAGGTAATAGTGATGATCAGTCATCAGGTAGGGATCCTTTCTGTGATGAAAGGCAACTTACTGAGCTGAGAGTCAGGAGCTGTATTATCGGCAGACAAGGCAATCACCAATCATGATGGTGATGAGATGGGACCCTTTCCACAAAAACAAGCACTCAGCAGAGAGCCAAGTACAAGGTTCCATTGGTAGATGACAGCCACCAATAGGAGCTGTATGGCTGACAGATGAGATAGCAGGTACTCATGGAGGAGTTGGACCTGTGGGGCAGTAGAGAACATTTCTGTGATGGGAAGTGGGCTGCCAAGGCCACCACATGATTAGACGTAGCCTAGGGCTTTGCAGGCCAATAGTCAAGCTACTCCCCACAACACGTTGCATGACTTCAGAATAGGGAGCTGACACTCTGCATAATGTAGGGCTCCTGGTATCTGCCTATTCAGTGCCACTCTTATTATATGGGACTGTCTAGTTTGGGGTGGACCATGAGTCCACCAGGGAGAGATCCATGTTGTGACCACAGGTACTTATGGTGGAGATAAAGCAGCTCTCTCCCCTAGTGTATAAGGGGGAGGCAGAGGAAAGGCTGGGCCACTTCCTTAAATACTTCAGACAGGTGACTGTCTGGAATAATCAGATAAAAGAGAAGACAGTGATGTGCCTGATGCTGAGTCTACATAGTTCAATATGAAACCAACTTTGACTTAATACAGTTGTCCACAGTAAAAAAATAATTAATGTCTAAAATGGCTGCCAACAACATACAATCAGGAAACACTGTAATACTTCATATGAGTTGATCCACTCATTTAACTTGGCATCACAGAAAAAGTAAATGGGTATGGTCAATTTAATAAGACTTGTTTCAGTGAAATTCACTAATCCACCTTCTGCACTGGTAAAATACACAACTCCCTAACAACACATAGAGGAATCACACACATTAAGTGCACATGTGAGAGTTTCTCTCAAGCCCCCCGCAGTCTTTCTAGAGAATGCCACTACTCAAATAAAGGGGAGAAATTTACATGAAACATTGGACTACTGTTTAGCAATGGAGTATCTTTTGACAGCTCAGAAAGCTAGAGTCACAAACTCATCAGTTTCTTGACCAAATGACCACCTTAGCTTGCACATTAACTCAACCTAGTGATCAGGAAGTCGTTATTGGCATCTAAACCAATCATACAGTTGTGATGCTGCCCCTCATTACAAGCAGCTTAAGTCTAACCAAGTTTTGATATAAAAGGCAGAAACAGGATGAATATTAATTGTGGTGACAATAATTTTGGATGAATAGTATAGTTCAGCGAAATTCTGTCAGTAAATCACTGAGTTTCTCCACTTTCAGAGGGTAGCACATTACCAAACCATAACTACATACGAGTAGTTTAGGAAATTAGCCCAGTTTGTTGCTGTGATAATTACACACAAGCCAGAGGCAGTTTGTAGAAAGCTACTAGTGTATGTAGAAATTATAAGTTTGTGTATTATATATATATATATATATATAAAGGGTCACACACATCTATGAGACTTTACACAAAGTCGTTCATTATAATTGTATAACACAGAAAGTTATTGATCTGTGAACCATTATTTGAAAACATGGTTTGCCTATTGTTTTTATTAATGCAAATGTTAGAATGTTTCATTTTGAAATTGAAACATTCAACAATTAGTGAATTTTATAAAAAATAAATATGAGTAACAGATATACTCACACCATGTTTGCTGGAAAACACAGTTTGACCTATGTTTTGTAAGTGTTAGCCAGGAACATTTCAGTTTATTTAAAATAAAATGTGTGAATTTATCTGTAGAAAAACATTCATAACAAATATAAACTTAGTGAACCCAATGTTTTATGTGATTGTGCATTGAAATATTTTTGATCAAAGTTCACAGTTTTTTGGGTATTTATTCTTGTACAAAGTGCAGTTATTATGAATAAAAATGCAAACTCTACATGTAGTGCCGCAGGTGAGAAGTAACACCTTCATGATGAAGATGTAGTTGCTTCCCTCTGTGCTAAATTTATATCTTAAAAAAGTTGAGAGGGAGACAACATGTTGATGTTACTGAATTTCCATGGTTTGAAAAATTAGTTTAGCACTTAAGCAGCATTTGATCGATCTCAGCGGTGATGATATTAGAAAGTGCAGCTATGAATCTAGGTTAAACTTAAGACCCAAGGATGCTGGTGTTGACCTAGCAGTCTGCAGGTATAAGGATCTGATTCTAGAATTAAGCGAGAGCACATGCAAGCCTCTAGACATAGGAGCTTGAATGCCAGTTTATTATTTTTTCACACTGCTCCTAAAGCAGGGCAAAGGGGAATTACAGCTTTAACCTAAACTTTTGATCAAGTTTTTCTGACCTAACAGAGCTTGTTTAACATTGCATTTATGATATTGATATTTGTTATTTAACATCAAGTTGTTGTCAACTGGTCAATAATGAATCATTCTAACATTTTTGCAAATCAAATCCAAGGACCTGGAGTAAGCTATGGAAGATGAACAGTGACTATAGTTTTGGCAATTACTGGCTAGAAACCTAACATGTCACCAGAAAGATGCCTGCAGTGTTGGCAACTTCAGGCTAAGAATATGACAGACCAAAGGAAGCTTCTTAGACTGATATCTAAAACACTGGAAACAACTCTTTTGATGTGATTTATCATGACACCATTGAATCATCGCAATATAGTCAGACTGAAGTACTTTTTCTACTGAGGTGGTGAAAGGAAAGATGGAACAAAACTAAATACAGTGATGGTGTACTAAGTAACAAGACATGATGATAAATTTCAATGAACTATATCATTTATTAAGTTGTGTACATACCTGTTGTTCTAGAGTTTAGCCTACTTTCATTACTTGTTTATGTGTCATCAATACATCAAGTCACAGGGCTTACTTCTTGATCTAGAGTTCTTTAGTTGATGTTAGTATTCAGGCACTTTCCATTTTTGTTTTGGGATGGTGGGTTGTATATATGTGTTTTTTGAGTCATTAGTGAAAGATCTGTATTACATATTTTTATGTAGCATTACTAGTGTACATTTTTTTAATATTTATATGTGTGTGAATAATATTTAAATGTACATTTTTCTAAGAATCCTCTGTATATAAGCATATATAGCTATGTTCTGTTTTTTTTTCGCTGTCAAAGAGTTTTATTTTATTTATTTAGTTGTATTTTTGGATATCTAGCACTGATGATTTGAAAATTGAGTATTTACACACACACACGTATATGTTTTGATTCATATGTAGGGTAATTGTTTTTTTTTTGTGTATTCTAGTTTTGAAGTGTCTTTTGGCTTTTTTTTTTATTATTGTGAAAGTTTTTTAAAAATTTCTTACTTTGGAAGGGCCCCCAGATGTATCTGTGTTCTTGTAAATACTTGTTCACATAATTGTTTTCCAGTTGTTTGTGATTGCCTAAGATTCATTGCCTCTGTAATTAAAAGTTTATTTTGAGAATAGTTATTCTACAAATAAAAACCAGGCAAAACAAAGTTTGAAAAAATAAAAGGTGACTCATAATTAATGATGGTTTGTTAGAGATAGCAGAGAAGGATGGGCCTATGTGAGAATAGAAATAAGCAAACAACATTCACATTTTCAAATATTCATTGACTTACCTATTCAATTCAATATCAAAATTATTGAATTAGGGAGATTATAAGTATATCTTTCAGTAAACATTCCTAATGGTAGAAGCAGAGTGTAGACCATCTGCATAAAGCCTCCATGGGTTAAACCCTATCTACAGTGTAAAAGGTACCAGCACTGACTATGCAACATGATTGTTTGGTTAGATCAATCAGCCATGTCTTTTAACACAGGAAGCCCATCCTCCAGTGTATTAGTATTGGGAAAATGCACGCATGCATAAGTCCTGTCCTTACTCGTGTATCTTCATTTCTCCAGCAATGACGTGTGAGGTGCAAAATAATTGTAATACATTGTAAGAAGTAAGAAGAAGATTGAGTAAATAAATATTTGTAAATCTTTACATAAATATTTCATATTTGGTTGTGATACTGTGTGTTCAGGATAAAACAACAACTTATGGTTTTAATGCTGTATTTACTGTGTGTAGTACAAGAATAAGATGCAGCTGTAAAAGTTCATGTTTGTTATTTAAATTATTACAATTTTGAAAATCATTTAATTGTAATTATTGAATAATACTGTAAATAGGACAATACAGTAATTATCAGTATTAACAATTAATACTGATATTATCTTGGTTAATAACAATGTTTTTCATAAATGTTTTCTGTAAAACATGGCTCCTAGATATCCTTCAGATGCCACACCTCCGTGCCTCTCCAGTTTCTTGGGGCACTATGCTACCATCTGGTAATGATCTATAAATTTAGCCATAAAATACTAACATTATATTTGTTTGATGAAATTAATTTTAACACAACTAAGGAATAAATGTTAATTAATTACATACAAAACAAAATTAATTAAATACTGATGATGTAAAATGTACCTTGATTAATAAAAGAAAGATCCATTGATGATACGATAAAATGGTTGTGTCAATTTAAATTTTGTTGGACATGCATTCTGTGTATTTAAAACAGCTTACTATAAAATATTTCACAGTAGTTATACAATAAGCAAAAAACAACGTTTATATTAAACACTAGTTTTAAGGTTGCAACATCACTATTTTAGTTGAAGCAGGTGTTAAATAAGCATGTATTACTAGAGGAAAATTAAACTGGACTCTTCCATGCTGCCCACTGAACCTTCGAATCTTACATATTTTGGCACGAAGATGTTTAAATGTATCAAATCATAAAGATTAAAATGTCCGATAAGCTAAAATGCCACATTCTGATAACTAACTGACAGCCTTCTTCAGATATGATGTTATCACAGAGAAATAACTGGGAAATGTTTAGTGAGAAAATATCTATTTTAATCACAGAATTCAATACTGGGAAAAAGAGCAAATGGTTGTTGGATTCCCACTTTTGGGAAGTTACCAGACAGATGCATTCTCAGGTCAGGCACAAAAAGCCATATCAGTATGTCCAGGTCAAACGAAGTACCCTATCATGAGCTGGAAGTTCACCTAGTAACAAAACTTAGTACTATATGGGTGATTCCAGCGGTGGTTTATGTTTTTTAGTCATTATTTACATTACTATAGGGCCTATGCTGTTGAAGAAATTAAAAAAGAAATAGTAACAAATAAGTAGACTACCTGAATTGTGATGAAAAAATGCTATGCTAAGACCATGTATAACATCAATATAAGAAACTCTGGAATCTTAGTAAATACAGAATGTGCACATGAAGTGGAAAAAACAAAGACCCAAGACACTCTCCATCTTGTATAAAGAATTCATAATGTACAGATTGTTTTTCTTCAGGAACACACACACAATTGAATGTAAAACCCCATTGAGTCTAGCACTCATTAAAAAGCAAAATTCTAAATCAAGAGATGGCCCCTAGCAAACAAAACAGTAAGAAGAGGGGGTGGGAAAGTACATCAAGTTATTATGTAATACTTAAAACACTCAATATCACTCAGGCATCTAATTGGTTTGGTGAATTTCTGGGAAGGTATAATAAAGAAAAGCAATTTCTAATGTGAAATTCAGTTATTTTCTAATTAAGGTTTATGAACTGGGGCAACAAAACAATGACTTGAGACTTCCTTTATCACTTAACACTGTTAAAAAACAAACATATGCCAGCAGGAAAGGCTAAGGGGGGCATTCATCCCTGGAATTTCAGAGGAACATTTATTTAAAAAAATGTATTAGAAAATAATACTATTTAAATTTAAAGGACAATATTAGGTGTATGTAGATAAGCTACAATCAGGGAGAGCATCACATTCAAACTTCAAGGCAATGGCCTGCGCTTTACAATGGCTACCATACTGGCAGGTTGTGGGCTTGTTCCAACCTGGAATGAATTCTGCAGATGCCTATGCACGTGAGTTGAGAAGTCCAAACATAATGTGGTTACAGTTTGTAGTTAGACTCAAAACAGTCAAAAAAAGGTTAAGGAGAGCTTAAAAACTACATTACTCATACTGAAAAGTGAAAAAAAATAACTAACATATAGCTTTCAGCATGTGGTGTTAGAAACTTAAACACGCATTCTAAAATTCAAAATTAAATCAGACTATTTAACAATCACTAAAATTGATGAATTTATTCTTCTCATAATGTATGTGAACAGTTTGAAAGTCTAGTTAGTCTGGAAATCTTAACATGAACAGTTTTTCAATCCATGTCCACATAAAAACGTTTTACGAGGCTTATGAACAATTAGCATTGTTGGAGTTATTTTCTGTACATCTCTGAAATATCTTACTGTAAAGGAATTCACAGTTCACACTGTAACAGAAGTTTTCAAGCTGTGTATTACTGCTGTTCACCACTTGATACCCCGGACAACAGAGGAATACAGAGCTAACATTAACAAAGAACTACTTCTGGTCGAGTAATGTTTCTTGTATCAAGAAGAGTTTAATGTTGGAAATCTGGAACTAATATTTTAATGGAACTGAAATCTGGTTGAAAACAATCCCTCACATTGCAACAAAACAGTATAGCTTCAGCTTCAAACAAGTACTAATTATATTCACAAATAACACTACTTGAAATTAAAAGAGCAATTTTAAACTTGGTAAATGAAACTACTGAAATATTGCACATAACCGTTTTAATGAAACATAGGATTCTAAATAATAAAAAACATATTTCAGAGTTAAATATAAATCAGCTATAAACATTTAAGAAAAAAAGTGGTTAATATACAAGACACATGAGATTTTTTTGTAAATGTCTCACAGTGATCCATTACTAACAATTAAAAATACACTATTATGGAAATTTTGTTTCGACACATAAGAAATAAATCACTTTGTTAAATATTTATTTAACTACATTTTGATAATAAGTGCAAAAAATTGTCAGATTTCATAATCCTAATGGTTTATCAGCAAAAATGAAATCTGTTGCATCATGGCATGGTATCTATTCACATTATCACTTATGTGTGCGAGCAGTATGTGTGAAGTGCAAGAAATGTCTAAGAATATTTACAAAGATTTTGCAGAAGCTATGACACCAATGACTTTTTGAAAGATCTCAGCTTGTGAAGGAAACATCTCTATCATGGTTTCAGCAATAGATTTGTAATGCTTTAATCTATCTCTGATTTTATCCTCTTCCTTCTCCATGCTGCTAACTGACATTTTGGTCTGGTACTTTCCCTCTTTAGTTGATTGAAGATATTTCATTTTTTGCTGCATTAGTGACAGTCTAATTATATTCTGAAAAAATAAAAGTCTTAATTATGCATAAAAGTAACTTAAGAATTTTAATATTACTGTTCCTACTAAAAGAAAATCAAAAGTTATATATATATATATGTTTCTTGAGAATCCATACTTACCTTATGGTAAAAAAGTAAGGCTATGAATAATCTTAATAAAAAAAATTGTAAACTAGTTAATAAAACTGAAAAGTTATCTTAATTCATATTTTTTAAAATCCATCTACAGTTATGCCAATTTCTCCAACTGAATGAATTAACTTTAAGTTTATTCTGTAGGCTTTTTTCTATTTAACTTCTAGATGTTTTGAGTTTTTCAATGCAACTTCACTTAAGCATGATTTATTAAAGAAGTACAGTAAAAGACTTACTACAGTTAAGATTTGTTTAATGCTTTATTTTAAAGCTTACCACAAAGAAATGTCTTCAGCTTTTGTATAGTTATCTCCCTCTGACCCATTTTGTTAAATTAAATTATCCAGAATTTCATCTTGAACAACACTGTTAACAACATGTTAACAATATACTGACATATAGATCATTAAGATAATATTTTTTTAGTAATTTTAGAAAAAGCATCATCAACATAAAATTCATCAAACAGTTGTTTGAGAGATGTAACAAGTGGAGTATAAATGATGAATAATTTTTAAGGAATACCTGCCTGGAGAACTTTTATTAATTTTATGATGGATGCAGTTATGAGTATCTTCATAAATTTTTGATAAAGTTTCATTTGCTTACACAAAAAAACATCATTCTTCCCTATAGTTCTCCACATAGTTTAAAAATAATAATAATAAATACATAAACAACTCATTAAACTTTTTCTTACTTAATAAATTCAGCTTTAAAATTTTTGGTTAAAGTAATTCAAATTTCATGTGTGCAAAACCTGTTAATATTTAAAAAGCAGCTTTCTTCTACGTTCATAAAAAATGGGTCAGCCTTACATGAGGTTATTTTACATCTTAAAAGTTGTCTTGGACTTTGAATTATTTAAAAACAAGGTTTTTTGTATTGTTTGATGTTCAGCAAGAAATATCCATCTGGTAAAAATTACTGAAAAAACTAATTTAATTAGAATCTTAAACACACAAAATGTCATGATGTATGTGTCATACTGACATCTTTGCCTGCCCTACTGTAAAAATACAAATAAAATATTTTCATGCATTAGTTAATATTTATTTATAAACTTTCACTTTCAATTAAACCATTTGTGTAAAAAATCAAAATCAAATTATGGATGCTATTTTTGAAAAGCTAGCATGATGCAAGGAAAGGAATGTTGTCACTTAGCTTGATTATATTTATAATAAACAGCTAGCCATATTTCTTTTATAAGTTACCTATTAAGTTGGAAAATGTTATTGGAAACTATAAAATTACTTTTAATTTAGACTGAAATACCCATAATAACCTCACACCCATGGTATAATATTAGCCAACTATGTTAAACAGCTCAGAAGAAGTACACAATATGCTACAGAAAGGAGGTGCATGTGATATTTCACCTTTTACACGAGGTTGCACAATTGTGTGTTTTGACTATGAGGAAAGCAAGAATCAGATAGCCAAAGATCTTGGGCTTTCCAACGGTTGTGTGCATAAAATTATTGAGAAGTATCATCAGGAACATCTAACCACTGCACAATGTCAGCCTGGCCACTCATCAATGGTCACAAACTGGGCACAGTGAGCACTTGTTCGCCAGGTCTGTTCCAAGCCATGACAAAGCCTTTGGACATCTCAAGCTCCCATAACAAGAGTCAATGATAGAACAATGGGTTCTACATAGGGTGAGCTAGAAAAGGTGAGTGATTCAATGGAAACCCACGATCATGCATGGAAATGTGCAGAATAGAAAGCTCATAATTACACCTCCATATGTTCACCACTGCAAGTACTACAGGGTTTGATCATAATTGTTTTTCCTTTATTCTTGGCATGTTGTTATGGATGCAATTGATCTGCTACCTGGTGACAAAAAACTAAAAATTACACAGGCCTGCAATGGGTTTTATTGTTTTGAAATCTTTACATTTATACAGTAATTCCTGTACACTGAATCCGAAAATAATATCCATTTTTCTCCATCATGTAAAGATTTTTCACAAAACGTCATAACGCAATACATAAAAGAAAGACCATAACACAGCTTTAAGACTAAAAGATGTAGATTTCACACAAAAATAATTAGGATGACTGAGGATGCATATTCATTTGATATCAATGTTCTTCCTTTTTCTTCACTTTGTTTGTATTTTTGT